TCTTAACTTTTTCCAACTTTTTATTTCTCAACTTGCTTGACTTCAAAACTTAACTTACGATCATTGAGCAACTATATCACCTTATAAAACATCCTTATTAGCATATAAGACACTCTTTTTATCCCCAAAGGTACCGATTAACTTAAGCATTCTGAACGGGCGTGGTGTTAGAATAGACATTCTTTAACTCGAACTTGTTTAAGGGTATCCTTGACCCATAACGTTAGTCTAATTCTTTGATTTTTTTTACCTCCCCTTTGCAACCTTATTCTCCTGAAATGATACACCAAGTCATATAAGCCTCATACACACATTCAATGATACACATATCATGCGAAAGAACCACGAGGTCTCACGTGATGGTTGTGATTCTATGATTGTGTGACGTATGTTTGTTCTTGCTTCATTATGATACTGGTGTATTTGTTTATGTTGCAATGTTGATCGCACTCGTTGTAATGAGATAGAGAATTGATGAATGCCATGAAATCATGACTTAAATGCATGATCTTGATGATATACTTGTGATTGTGATTGTGGTGTGTGAATGAGTCGATTGCCACGTTCCGGCATAACTAACTTGGATCGGTTTCCACGTTCTGACATAACTAACTTGGATCGGTTGCCACGTTCCAACATAAATATGGGATCGATTGCCACGTTCCGGCATGCTAACTATTTGGGTTTGGGTTCCATGAGAGGACCAACGACGTGATATAATTGTGATAGTTTGACATAAAATGGGAAGTTGTATATCTTTGTTTGTAAATGTTGTTAATATTGTATATGTTTGAATTCATGCATGTGATAATTGATGTTGTATTTACCGGAGTTGTTGTATGGTTATGAAGTCTTGTGTTTGGTGGGTATTATATGTTGAGTAACGGGATAGGTACCTTGATGTTGAGTGATCTGGAAGGGGAACAACCAAATCAGAACGTGGTACAGTAAGTAGGAAGTGAAGGTTGCAAGAATTGTTAATAACCGGGTAAAAAGGTGTCATGTGTAGTATTGACAAGGAGTGTGATTAGTGATCGTGACATATTACTTAGGGGGGATTCACTTTGGGAGATAAAGGATTGTGGTTAGTAGAAAGCTTGGCGTGATGTATTATGTGGCCAAGTCTGGGAATTATGGAGGGGTAGTAAGGGTGCGACGAAAGTAGGTTGGTTGGTAATGTGGTTAGTAGTTGGAGTGCTAGTGGAATTTGGAGGTATTTTCGAGAGAGAGTAAAGGTGGAGAAGCGAGGGGTGTTATATCATGTTCTTATTATTGAATTTCTTATATTATGTGGTGGGCGTCGGGCTGACCAATGAGGCCTACCAGTACGTGTGTTTATATTGATACTACTCTTGCTATGTCTTTTGACATAGTTTGGATGCAGGATTGGTGACGTTTCATTAGGTGAAGACGAAGACAATCTCCAGCAACTTCTATTCTTTCTTCTGCATGGTGGGAGTTGTGTCGTTATCATATTGTCCAGTTGAACTCTTAGTAGCTCTTGTACCTGTTTAGACTAGATTTTTGGGGGTGTTATTTACTTTACAAGTACTGACTAGTAATTATTTCAAGAGATTTTATTGAAAAAGGATTTGTGTTCCTCATTTAATTTCGTATTTCGTAAACTTCCGCATGTTTTAACTTTTGGGATATGAGGGTTCTTCTACTTAGGTGTTAGAGTGGGTGCCCACACAGCCCGATGGGTTGGGTCGTGATAGTTGGGGACTAATAATGTTATTCAAAAAAGGTCTGATTCTGTTCACAATTATTTTTGTAATCGTTTTATAAATGGTGATCAAAGACTTATAGGTCTATAGTGATTAATTTGTTCAGGGTTGTTTATTTTTGGAATGAGGCACAAGAAGGTTTTATTTAAATCAGGGGAAATGGAAGAAGTATGGAAGGCCTGCATACATGTAGCAGCCTCTAACTCCTCTGTATCTTTCCAATACTTTTGAAAAAATATTGGGTGAAGTCCGTCTGGATCGAGGGATTTTAGGGGCTTGAAGGAGAACATTGTGTTTTTAATTTTGTCCATTTCGAGGGGTCTGCCTATGCCTAAGGTTGTTAAAAAGCCTAAGAGTACAAAATATGAGGGGCCAAAAGCTTGAGATGACTCGGAGAGATTGAGTCCGGAGCGTATAATGATTTGATATGAGTTATTATAACATTTAACTCTTCTAATATACTTAAATTATGTCATACAGATTGAGATATAAAAAGAGAAAATAATTATTTTTTATTCCACTTTGTTCAAGTAAGAGAAAATTATCCTTGCTAACTTTTAAAAATACCAAGCGAAATGAGGATTCAATTCAAACAATATAAACATCTAAATACTATTTTTAATTTAACTTTAAAGTACCCCTCAAATATGACGTAATTTATATCTTAACACTTGAGAGTCATTTGATATAAGTTAGAAGATATAATAATCTCACGAATAATTTGGTCGAAGGTATTAGACAGTTTTGAAATTATTCTCATCATTTAGTGATGAAATAAGTTATCCATATATATGATAAAATAACTTATCTCAGAATAACTTATTTCCAATCAATGAGCCCTTACTTGATTAGCAAGCAATTAAAACGCTACCTCTCTTCAATCTCCACCCAACAGCTGTCACCATCACAGCTTCTTCCTTTCTCTCTTTTTTCCCAAAAAAGCTGCTATGTTTAGGTGGCAGGGCGGCTAAGAACTTGCAACTTTGAGGTTTATTTGGTTAGATAATGCGAAATAATATTTGATCAGAATTTGATCAAAAATTTTAAAAGTTTATAATATTTTTTTTATTTAAAAATAAATTAATTATTTTTCTATTTTTTAATTAAAAGATATTAAAATTAAAAAGATAAAAATATTTAAAAAAGTAAAATAATATATTTATTTGATCATTCTGACCAAATTTTGACCAAAAGGATTTTTCCTATTTGGTTAATCCATACAAAAACAACTTATTTATGAAAATAACCATCTAATTAAGTACTTCAATTCGGTTAAAAGAAAATCTCTTTTAGCTTTCGCCATACTCTTTTAAATATTTTGTACAGAAAACAAATAAAATACTAAATAAAAATGTCAATATAATTCAAACAAATTACAAATGATAACATGTATAAAATTAAGCACGATTATGAGAATTCTTTTATCGTAATTGTCCTTGACAAATAACCATTTTTTTATGCAAGAGAAAGAATTGAGTGGCAATAAACAAAACAGTTTTTAATGTTTACCAAATAATATGCAATCACATAGACTATAATATTCTAGTAATGTTAATATTAGAAAATTAATTATATTTGACATTACTTTAAGAAGATTTAATCATTAAGTATGGTATACAACTAACTTCATTCATATCAAAATTGACTAATTAATTAATAGTTGTCATTATATGGAGTTCATACTTAGGTTATTTATAGAGATTTATAAATACTTGGATGACTTATTAAACGATTTTCACAACTTAAATAACCATTCGACGAATTAACTCCGGTTAACTGATCTTTTAATACCCGTAATAGTGTCAAACTGTACCAAAGCATGCATCTAAAAAAATTGACTACTAGTTTGGTTTGACTTGATTTGGTATTGAAAAAAAAAATCGACTATATTTGGGTTGGTTTGGTTTTAACTAAATAAAACAACCCAAGATTAAATCAACCCGACATATTTTGTGTTATTTTATTAAGAAATACCTTAGATAGTTGTATTTTGGTAGGACTAAAGAAATATCTGAAATACAAGTAAATTATATGTTTGTATGAATACTTTAACGGAAAAACCCGAAAAAAATCTGAAAAATTAGAAAAAACCCGAGGTTGAAAAACTCGAGTTTTATTGGTTTGGTTTGGTTTATAAATTTAAAAATCTGACACACATGATTTTGTTTGATGTTTGAAAAACCCGAACCAACCCGATCATGTACACCCCTACATCATATATAATACAAAAAAAAAGAAATAGTGAAATTGTAAAAATACGTTTTTCATAAATAGAAGTAGAAAAAATAAGGGAAGAAGAAGAATCACCAAGACAAATTAAGAAATTGTGAGCGGGTGGCAGTTAAGGATTTTTGTCAATACAACAACAATAACAATAATATATCCAGTGAAATTTCACTAAGTGGGGTCTGAAGAGGGTAGGATTTGCACAGACCTTATCATTATCTCGTGAAGGTAGAGAGATAGAATTTTTACCAATGGAGTTAGAAAAATAAAAAAATGTAGCGTGTGAGATTGATCTTAGAAGTTCAAGATGAACTTTGAATTCCCTAAAGCACTGAGTCAACCTCTAATCTTAATGACTAATGGGTTCAAAATCTATATACATACACTAATGATTTTAAAATATATATCATATAATTTTGAGCAACTTTATCATATAACAAACATAAAAATCATATTTATATGTTATAGCTATAGTTTGCATAATTGCGCTCCATAACAAATTTTATGTTTTTTATGGAGCTTTTGATTTGTATAATTCGCTACAAACATCCAATTTTATACAAATTGTTCAGTTTTGTATAAATTCATTTATACATTGTAATTTGTATAAATTGTTCGCTACACTTTTCTCTCGCTTTATACAAACACAAACGCATTTTATACATTTTATACTGAAATGTATAAAATGACTAATTGTATACCGAAAATGGCTAATTGTATACCGAATCAGATGACAAAAAAAGGGATGTTTGCTGCGAATTACAACTAAAATAAACTATGACTATAACATTTAATTTGAATTAATAGTTTGCTATTTCATACAATTTTCCCTATAATTTTTTATTGAATGAGTTCGGGGGAACTTGCTTGGAAAATGAAGGCTTTTAACCAAAAAGTCTAGCAATTTGGGCTGAACACCCCCCTTAGCTCCCCCCCCCCCCCTTCCCTCTTATAAATAAGCAATTAACCTTTGTGAAGTAGGTGAGCCTTTGTGAGTAATTAGAAGCTCCATATATAATTATGGCAGGACTAGTGTTCCAGCAACATATGGATTATGTAAAGAAGGGAGCATGGTCTCCTGAAGAAGACCAAAAATTGATTGATTATATCATGCAATATCGTATTTGGAATTGGTCTCACATGCCCAAATTTGCAGGTTCAACAACAACAACAAAACTTCATCCCAACTTTTTATTGTTGCTTTTAGGTTTTTTTTTCTAAAAAAACACAAAGACTGCTTTTAGGGTTTCATCATTACATATGTATATATTTTTGTTAATTAGGGCTATCAAGAACCGGAAAGAGTTGTAGACTCCGATGGATCAACTACTTGAGGCCTGATCTAAAGAAAGGACCTTTTAGCATCGAGGAGGTGGAAATTGTGATCAGAATGTATCAATCGCTTGGAAATAGGTGAGAATTAAACCTTAGCTTTAGTAACATAGATATATATAGCTCATTTTCGAGGAACCAATTACATGTTTTAATTTGTTAAAGGTGGTCAGCTATAGCTAAAGAATTGCCTGGAAGAACAGATAACGAAATCAAGAATTTCTACCACACACATTTAAAGAAGCACCTTGGGACAAAAGTTGAAGTGAAACCTAAATCAAGGTCCAAAAAGGTGAATAAAGCTAAACAAATAGAGATGAGTACTCAAAAGAAACCTTTGATAACTACTTGTCCAAATATTGAAGGTCCTAATGATCCAACACTTGATTTCACCAACTCCTCCTCCTCCTCCAGCTACATCACATTTGATGAAAATTACGAAATCATGGGATTCTTGAAAACATTGGATCAAGACAACGATGTTACTTCAATTGTCAATCAAGTTGATGATGAAAACATAGTTATATTGGAGAGTAGTACATGGTCATCATCAAGTGTTGATTTGTACATGAAAGATTTCATGGATGTGAGTGTTCATTCATCTATTGTGGATTTCTGGTTGGAGCTTTATATGGCAGCAGATAATCTGAAGATCTAAGTGTCAGTACTGGATGTTTAACTATGTTCCTTTTGATGTCTTCATAATGTTTTGGTGTATACGAGCAACATATATGTGGTATCTTGCATTTCTTGGTCATTATGTTAATCTTGTTCAATTAGTTTGTAATATTTGGAGGTCTTGAAATTGAATAAGCATATTTTGTTCGTGAAAGAGCATGATTATTCTAGAAACTCATTTATCAAGTTCTATAGATATAAAGACTTTCATGAAATAGTGTAAGAAGTTTTATAGCATACTAAGGCTTTATTGGATTCTGAAAAGAATTTCTTGTATAACCCCAAAAAGTATATACAAGCAATACTGGTATATATCCTGTAAAAAACTTTATTTTTCAATTTCGTTTTCCTATTATTTATTTTTTTACAATCTTAAAAGAGATATTGTGTTACGAAGATGACAAGGTAGGACCATACCCAAAATGGTAGTGACATAAGAAATATGTAGAAGCTTAACACAAATGATAGTTACAAAAGGTGCTCATGCCAACGGCATACGATCAACTCTGATAAATGCATAAATGAATCATGCATGTACCAATGGACAAGCCTCCAACTTGAAGATCAAATGTTTTGTGGAAAAGACATCTTACTAAGATGAATTGTGAAGTAAATCATTGTTATAGGGAAGCTAATCGAGTTGCAGATGCGTTAGCCAAACATGCTGTTGTTATGTCAAATGAAGCTCATATGTATCATGACTGAAGGGATATTCCTAAGCTAGCAATCGGCTCATATCAATTAGACAAAATGCAAATGCTAAAAGGCCTTTTTGTACGTGGGATTGCTTGCCTATATTCAGTCTTCTAATGGAATAAACAACTTCGGTTTGGATGTAATTCACAAAAATTAAAAATCATGTATATGTTATACACATTTCAATATATATGATCATCACTGTTGAGATTTGGTTCATTTTAGTGTACATGTCATCAACATTTCAAATAAAGAACGGTATAGTACATCTCAATGAAAAGCTCGGTACTATATAAGTGTAGAACTTAAGATATAATAAGCTCAAATAAAAATATAACTGGAGGAGTCTGAGAGAATAGTTTCCCGAGAATAAGAACAATGGACTGATCTTGTATTTAGTCCGTTAATGATCTTATATAGAATTACAACTTTAATAGAGTCACAATCCCACTAAACCACTAACTAAATCCACTAACCTAACTCTCCTAAACTTTAGGAACACATTTCTGCAATACTACGAAATAGGAAAAACTATCAGAGTTAAAAGAAAACAAATACCAACTGAAAGCTAAAATATAGTCATACTACAGACTTAGTCAAATTAAACTAGGAATGATGTTCAGGGCCGACTCAATAACATTGGGGGCCTAAAGCCAAATCATAGAGAGGGGCCCTAAAAAAAATTAAAAAAACATTCTATATACTTTTATTTAAAATCTACTTTTCTAGCGTTTTTAGATGCGAATTCATTAATTACTGTTTTTATAATCAATTTGTTTTAGTAATTCTTTTTCAATTGATAATATAGCTAATCCATTCAATCTCTCTTGAGACATTGTTTATCCTAGATAAGATTTTATCAATTTTATTTTCGAAAATCTTCTTTCGGCTGAGGCAATGGTTATAGGAATTGTTAACATTATTCTATAAGCAATACATGCATTAGGAAAAGAATCAAGTCTTTTTATTAGATTGAGTATTTCCATTAGATCATTATTTTCTACTTGTATTATTTCTCTTAACACTTTTAATTCAAAAAATAAATCTAAACCATTAATATCAGAATAACTACTATGTGTTAAAGAAAGTTCAAGGTTAAGACCGTGCTATTTTAAATTCTCATCTTATGCTAAATAATTTACAACAAAAAAAAAAAAACTTTATCCAAATCTTTAGAGTAAATTAACCATTTTCTTTCATGTTTTTCTCCGTTTGCCAATTTTTGAATATAGTGTGTTGTAGAAAAATGTCGTAAGTGTTTATCCTTTGGAAAATTTATATTAATCATTCTAATTGGTCCCTTTTATACTAATAGATCTCTCAATTTTGTATCTGTATTATTCCATTGACTTGGGTCATATGTATTTTTATGGATGCAACTATTTAAATTACTTAGGAGTTCTTAATTATAGGGAACTATGTCACATTTTTCACCAACTTCTTCTAGATTTTCTTCTTGGATGTTATTATCATCTAACTCAATTCGGTTAGTGACTTGTTCATTTGAAGAACACCCTCCAATTTTTTTTGATTCAGAATTTTTATTATTTGTTAAAAATCTATCAAGGGCTCCTTTTTTGGGATTTATTTAATTCCTCTAGTTTTCTCTTTTTCTCTCTTTTTGTAAAACTAGAATCATATTTTCTAGTTGACATATTTAAATTAAATAAATTGTAATAATAACTAAAATAAGAATATATATGCTTATGAACTAAGAATATCAACAATAACAAATTTTTAAGAAAAGCTATAAAATAAAGTTAGAATAATAAAACTTGACTCACGAATTTGATAAGTTGATATAATGATATCGAAATAATGGTGTGTTTCTTGACTCCTTCAATAGAATGATTACTGGTTGCACTTCTTGAAATGCGCAGAAAATACCCAAAAGTAAATTTTGTTCTTTTGTAACTTCAAACTTGTAAGCAATAGTATATCAAAAGATTTTGTAGGAGAGAGTTCAATATTGAGAATAAAAATAATAAAACAGAGAATAAAAGAGATGAGTATTAAGGTATATAATAATATATGGTTAAAGTCTTGGGAGATAAATAAGGAAGCATGATTTCTCACTCCTGGAAATTATTCCAAAAATTGTTCATTTCCCTAGACCCTAATTAAAATTAAAAGCACTTTACCTTTTTTTAATTTTTGCACGTTTAGTATTCCCAAAAATTGTTCCACCCATTCCTTAATTAAAAACTATCAAGCTAACGGTACTTTTACCTTCTTTTTTTTTTTTTTTATAATTCTTGCATTTATTTTTTCACTTCTTGCACCTTTTTTTTAAAAAAAAATTAAAAGTAAATATAATTTTTTAAAGTATATATATAAGTACTTTTTAAAAAAATATGGGGCCCCCCAAAAATATGGGGCCCCAAGCGGTGGCTTTAGTGGCCTAGTGGTTAAGACGGCCTTGATGATGTTGTCAACTTTAACAATAAGATCATATGAAGGATATAAAGCGCTAGAACCTTAACAAAGGCAATCCAGTATCCAGGGGAACTCACGCTGGTTAAGGATAAAATAATATTTATCACTCCACCACAATCTCTATTGGTACAGAGGAGGTATTAGTGATTGAATCAGGCCGAATAAATCTCTAGAACCTTAACACAAATGGTACGTAGTCACATAAGAAATCTAAATAGGGCTAGTGCCAAGGGATTGTTAGAAATAGAATTGCGAATATGATAATGACTTCTTTTTTTTATCCAGCTCCATTCTTTAGTTACTAACAATTACGATGAAGCATTTGTAGCTTTAATTGACATTTATTGGTGTAACAATCAAACCTTTGTAGCTTTGGAAGTTGAACTGGACTTCATAATATATCAATAGAAGTTATATACTATAAACCTCTTTGGAAAATCCAGAAGATCATAGATGACATTAAGGGGATGGTCTTAAGGACCCGTTTGGTAGGGGAGATATTGATTAAAATAGTCCATGGATTAAAATTTAGTCCAACAAAAATATTGATTGGTTACTTTATTTAACGTAATCCATGGATTAGTTATACCTCATACAAGGTCTTATCTAATCCCTAGAAAAGGGAGGGATAAGTAATCGAAGGTTTAACAATCCTTGGATAAGACCCCTAAATGACTAAACTATCCCCAAATCTTTTTTCCTAATTTTTTTTTTTGTAATTTAATGTTTTTTTTGTTTTATTTATTTGTGAATATTTATAAATATTCTTTTAAATTCTCCAAATTTGTTCCATGTGATTTGATGATTTCACAAATTAATATTTTTTTCTCCATGTTTGATTTGTTATATTGGGTTGGTTTTTTCGTTTTTTTAAAAATGTAGTTCGTCGATTGACCACTTGAGCTATTTTAAAAAAAAAAAAAGCTTTATGTGTTTGAACAATTAAGTAGCCTTAAATCTATGTTAAATTCAAGGTATATTTGACCAACAAAAAAATTAGAAATATACCGTGCAATCAAGGATCTCTATGGTGGCATATCACACCTCAAAATTAATAATAATTTTTAAATATATTTTAGTATTTAACTTGACAAATTAAATGAAATATAAAATCTAATAATAACTCAAGGGTATAATAGGAAAGAAACCTTTTCTAGAATTTTAAGCCAAACATAAGATTAAATGGAAAACAATGAATCAAACACTTGATAAAAAATAATCCCTGCATTACTAAACCATGCATTATTAATCCCTGCATTACTAATCCATGCATTAGTAATCCCTGCATTATGCATCTTTGTATCAAACGATTAGAGAAACATATTTGTCACACTGTTGTAGAGAATAAAATGAAATTGTGATGCTCTTGCAAATTCGTTGTCTTAAGCTATTACAAAAATTTCCTTCAATCTTGTGGTCTGAGTCATGTAATGTGGAAAGTTAGAATTAAATATTGAGAAAAAGGAAAAGAAGACTTCTTTTTGAATTGGACTATAAAGGGAAGTAGAATAAAAAATGTAATCATTTTTCCAAAACAATTACAAGTACTACATTTTATTCGTTAATTATCAAAATATCACATTAATCAAACAATTTTCAACAAAATAAAGGAAGCAACCAAGAGAATTTTGCAAAACAAACAAGTCAAAGGTCAAAAACCACGCGTATGTGTTAACGATAAATTAGAGACTTTCATCTGATTAATTAAGATAAGACTTCTTAGTACTTTGACTTAATTAGTAAGTATGAATAAGAGGACAAACATAAAATGTTTTTTTTCATCCATTCTTCCTTTTTGACCACATCAGACGAAACATGATTACAATCACAAATTTAATTATTTTATTA